TTCCTGTCTTCAACACATTTCTTTAAATCTACAGAATGGCAGACTTTTCTACCAGGTTATAAGCGTTTTTGAAATAAGTGATACTTAGCCAGCGTAACTTACTGACTTACCATTTAAGTATAGTCATCACTCTCTTACTGTGAAATTCTAAATGCCTACCAGAGTTACCTTGTATTATCATCATATGATAAACATCTCAACAGTTTGGGTTTCCCTACTTTGGTTCAGAAAGTTATTTAATTTCTATCTGGGCATTAACAGAAAAAATAAGTAGACTTTTGTGCTGCTTTAGATGAGAACACGGAGGATATGAGATATCCTTTTTAATTAATGTTTTTCATTTCTCTCAGCACATTGTTCTATAAAAACATGCTCTTAACACGTTACCTTGACCTTTTGATCAATGTGAGTGGCATGTGCTTTTTTCACTTAGGACTTACTCTCGCGTTTGAAGATTAACAGATCATGTTAGATCTAAAAGGCTTTTTTGAAAACTAAATTCTTACTACACACATATTTCCTTTGGTTTGGAGAATCTAAGTGGCTCTTCAGTGTTTTGGATCTACATTCAGATGTGCTACTTGATAAGGTAGGAATCCATCTTCTCAGCTCTGGCCGAGGATGCCAGCAGTTGGGTCATTTTCTCTTTGGAGAGGCAGAAGCCTTGTGCTCAGGGCAGGCTTTCGTTTCCACAGATGGGATTCACTTGCAGGGTGCCAGCTAGATTAGATCTTTTGCCACTTCTTTCATTTTATTCATTTGGGTTTTTAAAGGGCTGTTTAAAAAAAAAAAAAAAAAAAAGCCGGGAAACTTTAAAAGTAGGCATTATTGTAGTACTACATTTCTTAGACTTAGAAGATTTTAAACTAGGACTCATTTTTTTTCGCAGCATATTTACTTGAAGAAGCACTATTATAATCAATGAGAAATTTTTTGAGTCTGCAATTTAATTTAAACCTTTTCCGTTTCAAATTGCTTTATTTCAGGGAAATAATTTTCCAGTTGTTTTTGCTATATTCTGCAAATAAAAACCGTATGTTTCCTTTTTTCACGTAAACTTTGGTAGGAAACAGACTAAAGCAGACAAACATTTCTTGTTATGTTTGTTGCTTTCTTTAATCCAATGGATAAAAAAGTAAAACCCTGTAAACATTATTTTATTTTTTTATGCAATACCATGCTGTAAATATGGGTCATCAATAAGGATGTACCTATGATTGAATCTTTAATTCTGCACAGTTAGAGTTTATATATAAACGTGTCTTGACAATCAAGGACTTTTATGTGAGTCTTCCTTTATGATGTTTATTAATGTTATGCATTCCATTTGTTTTGAAGTGAGTACCAATGTGCTAATTTGTATTGTCTGAAAGTATGTAATGTTTTTACAGCTTGTTTTTAAGAATCTGTAAATATGTACAAACAAATCACAGTACTGCTTTATGTTAGAAGGCATATGATGTTGTACTGTATGTAAGCAATAATACATAGCAGTGCTAACTTACAAGTAGCATCAGGAAAGTTCTAAAAACATTTCAGAGTTATTAATTATCCTTATTTCATTTAATAATGATTATCTTTAATCAGTTTTTATAAGCAGATTCCATTGTTCCTCCTATTGGAACGTAACACTGTTTACACAGCATAATCGAAGTTGCAGGGGAGGCAGGCTAAATCTGACTTTATCTGTACTCACTCTCACTAAGCATTGAATGGCCTTACCACTCTTCTGCAAGATGGAGGAAGACCGCAAAACTTAGTGCCCATCACATTGAAGAAAGGGGTGTGGGTTTTTTTCCTGCTTCTATACTGCTACCTAACTTTGTGGTTTGCTTTGGATCTTAATATTTGTTTCTGTTTTAGATTCAAGCCCATAAGTTTTGAGGTGACTTCAGCTCCATTGTGAAATAGATAGTTCTCTTCATATTTCATACCTGCATTTCAGTAATTCTAAACTTTCTACTTTGGTTTTTAGATACTTATTTTTCAAGCTTGATTTCTCAGCTGATCAGATGAATTTATTCAACTTCGATACAAAGAAAGACAAACCTATTGTAGTTTGAAGTGAGTAGATATACTGTACAGAACAGCTAACTATTTGAACACACATCACTGCTTTAGAAATAAACCGCCAATTTATAAATGTATATGACCTACATTTTATAGGAGAAATGTTTTTAAATGCTAGTCATTTATATAATGTGCTTTGAAGGATTTGCTAGTCCACTTCTGTCACTTTTTAGTACACTGGTATCTTTTATATGTAATGTATGCTTTTTATTATTGTAGCAGAGCATTTCAGTAGAAAGAATTTTGCAACAATATGGGGGAACTTTTTCATTGTTGGATTTGAATTATACTGGATTTTATCTGTGTAGTCTTACTTGTCTTTATTTTAATGCTGTCTGGAAGGGAACTTGGTATCCAAATAAAGCAGGTAACCTCATTTTACTTCAAGGGCATACTGTGTAGTGCTGAATTTTAATCTGGAAATCTGATGATTTTAAAAAGAAAAACAAGTTTATAAAAATTGTACAGAAGAAATTAAATGTGTGATGGAAATCCTGATGGTGGAGCACGTTGAATTTTCTGATATATAGTGTTATTTTCCTGGGATCCCCTATGCCTTCTTTGTATTTCAACTAATAAAGGAAAAGCCCTGTCATTGAAACTGGTAGGATATAGGATATTCTGATTATACAGTATTACTTTTCCTATCCATTTTCTGACCTTTTCTCAATCACTGTAAAATTTTATTTTCTATTTCCTATTGATAATTAAACATGTACATACTATAGATGCTGTTGTATAGAACTGAATGAATTGGGTTGCTATGCTTGAATGGGGGGGGCTAAGTGGAAATCGTTGGTGGATACTGAGAAGTCACAGAATGCCAGAGCAAATTTACACGGGCAAGGGGGCATCATGTGTCCCGGGACAGCCACAGCAGATCGCTTTTTCAGCCCCTTGGGAAATGAGTGTGACGGAGTCAGCTGCAAACTCAGTGTCAGAGAACAAGATGGGTCTTGCCTTCCCCCCCTCCAAAAATATGAGCACTAAATTTCAAAATCTACTCAGGTGAAAGTTGCTTTGCAATGAAATTTATCACATGGAAATTTTCACTGTTAAATAAGATATTTGTGATATTTTTAAATACAAACTTTTACATCAGTAGTTGGCAGCCTGATAACTCAGATTTGGTAAGTCAGTATATTTTAAAATATATTTTGCCCTCCAAATAGAATTGTTTTTAAACAATCAGGAGGCTATTTTGTTTGTTTAAATACATTTTTATTGTCATTGTAAAAATAAAACCTTGCTTGACCCCATATGCCATGAATGAGTTGCTGAGCCTTTGTAATAATTATAGTAAGAGCTGGTTTCATGCAGAGGCATGGAACATGGACGTGTTCTTTAAACAGACCTATTCCTAAGAGGTTTGATGGGTGTCACAGCTTTTGGCACTATTGTCATATAGTTAACCTTGCCATTTGTAGTTAATTATACCACTTTGTGTATTGTCATACTACAGGAAGTTGTCTTGCTTTATTTTAAATTGAATTACTAGACTAACTTATATTTGCAAATTCTGCATTTTAAATGTGGACACTGGCTGTTTGAAAATAAAAAATACAGAATACAGTTTTATGAATAATTTTCTAGCCGAGTCTTTCACAAATTCTGAACCAAATAACTAACGGTAAATATGCAAAAACCATGGTGCATAGACAGTTAAGGAGCGAAGAGTGTCTGTATGGAGTAACAGTCTGTTACGCAAATTGGGTAACAATTGTCAGGACCTTTACTGTAGCTGTGTGTGGAATGTTTGGTTTAGTAGTTCTATAACGCAAGAGTCAAACGTTACTGTCATTGGTATTTTAGACTGAAATATGTTTAACATAAAGCTAAGAGTGTGTGTGTTTCCCACAGATTAGATTCTCTTAGCCCAATATCAAGAGTGTAAGTGGGATTTTTATTTTATTTTTTTCTCTTTCATTCTTGGGAGCTACATTTTTCATCCATCTGCCACTTTGCCAGTACCCTGTCTTGTGACCAGTGGGATGCATTGTAAGAAAGCTGTCTGCGGTTAGGGGTGCAGTTAGGAGTGCAGTGTGGGTCCATGGAGCAACTTTAACCTAATTGGTCCGTGCAGAGTTCAACCCTAGGACCCTGGCCTTATTAGTATGGTGCTTTAACCAATTGTACATAATAATGCCACTGATAGTCTACTGATGCATTTCCTCAGTCCTTGTTTTTCTTGAATAATTAGGAATGGTGGGGAGAGGGATGGGGAGATACTCTATGTGGTACTTCTCCCACCTTCTGAAAACGATAAGAAAAAATAAAATTGAAGTCACTTGAATTCATGTGTCGTCATTGAGTCTTACTTGATAATTTATCATGCACTAAATTGAATATGAAGATTATTCTGACTATATGTTTGGATGGAATTACCCATTTTTTTCAGAGTGCTGGCCTTTCTATTATTTTCCCTGTTTGGTGAACCCAGTAAGGTATTCAAATAAATTGTATTCATGTGATAAAGAATCAATGAGGTGAAAAGTTTTTAAGTGAACTAATGCTAAAAATGAGGTCTCATCACTTTAGTGGTTCTGCCATTTCCAAATACAATAAAAAAGACTTTTCCAGTAAAGCACTTCACCCGTACACTGGCGTGGGTATATATACATGTGTGTGATTGTAAACCAGAGACCATTTGTGCCTTTGCGAATTTACCCATGTATACAATATGCTTTTAAAGTTCTAAGAACCTTCCTGATATTCCGTAACTTCTCTCGTTCTTCATTAGATTCTAGAACTATGATGCTCACCTCAAGGTGGCAAAGAGAGCCAAAGAAATGCATGGCAGTGATAGTAATCATATGTCTGCTTGACATGAATTTCTACTTGCTGGGGCATGGCTCTTTTATTCTGCATTCACTCAGCACTGGTCACCTGTTTAGCAGCAGGCATTGTACTAAATGTAAATAATAGCTGATGGAGAAGGCTAGCATCTTTGAGCATCTGAGAGCTGTTTATAGAGGTATCAATTACAGTTGCAGTATTGTACTTTAGCTGATTAAAACTGTTAAGATGCATTGGGTGCTATATTAATTTATGTCTCATTTCTAAACAGAGGTGATGTTATTATTGCCTGTTCTAAGATAGCTTAAAGCATGATTTTAATAAATTGATTCCAGAAGGTGGTAAATCAGACTATTACAGTGGGAATAAAGAACTTTGTCAGTTATCCCCCACTTAAAATGCCAAACTCGAGGATAGGAGTTAAGCTTAGACTTGGAAATGAGACCATAGACCTTGTTCCAAATAAACTGGCCTATCACAAGGGTGAAAAATGAGTGCTGTCAGAATTCACAATACTAGAGGACCAATGTACAGGTGATGGGGTGGTCAGAAATGAGGGCCTGAGGATGCTTAATGGAGGTAGGAGAACTAACTAAACCAAGGCTAAGTAGTCATTCTAGCATAGTCTTCATAGGAAGGTTTTAATATTTGTTTTGGTTCTTTGAAGTCACTGCCATTCAGCCCCCCTGAACCCCGTCTATGATTTTGGTATTATGTATGTTAAGTAAGGTCCACTAGTTCCTAGTTACCTGATACTTCTTTTCCTTGATCCTTTCTTTTAAGGTGTTTAGGCAACTTTTTCAAACTTAACTTTTTTTTTAAGAGAGATTTTTGTTACAGGATGCCTGTGCTCACTGGAGAGACAGAGACAGAAAGCGAGAAATCACCCCCCAGGGAGGATAGCCACGCCGCAGTCCCTCCATTCTTCTCTCAGAATTTTGGGCATACACGCACACGAGTCGGCATGAGTTTGAAGCCACTGGGTCTAGGACTTGAACCACGGGCAACTCTGTGGGAGTCCAGCAACGTAACCATCACGCCATCTGCTGGTCCCCAAACTTAATCTCTTAAGGCTCCAATGGGATTGTGTTTCTTTTTCTATTTTTTTCTGGAGAGTTTTTTTTTGTTTTTTTTTTTTTTTTTTTTTTTTTTTTTTTTTTTTGCTACAAGGTGTGTGTGCTCATCAGACAGACACCGGGGAGGATGGTCACGCCGCAGTCCCTTCTCCTCCATCCTCCTCTTGGGATCTTGGGCACCCATGCACATGCACCCGGAATGAGTTTAAGCCACCAGGTAAAGGAATTGAACCGCGATCGACTACATGGGAGTCCAGCAATGTAGCCACTATGCCATCTACTAGTCCCAGGATGGTGTTTCTATGGGAGCTCTGGCACCACCATTTACAGTTTTTGTCAATGACAACAGGAGGGTTAAGGCTGCTACAGTACTAGAAATTGTCAGGAAGAGGACACAGAGTAAACAGGACAGGAACTGACAGAAGCCTTGGCTGAGAGCAGCTGGTGTGCATGTTACTGAGCTGGCCCTCATTTGAGAGATGGTGACACTCAGCATGGGGGAAGCATCCATGGAGTCTGGCACGTATGTGAAAACTACGTATTCTTCAGTGAAGTATTTCCAAGGCATCGTAACTGGTGTGGCATGGCACAGCTTTACATGAGCCACCAGTGTGGTTTTTGTTGATGGCTGTCAGACGGGTGTGGCTTGGTAGTACTCTGCAGGCTGTCCGAGCAAAGAAGGAACCGTGAAGGAGCAGGAGACTCGGCGTCCAATCACGGCTCGGCCTTGATCCGTCTGTGTTACCTTGTTCAAGTCATTTGCCTTTCTGACCGATTTTCTCTGCACAATGAGGATAATAAAAGTACCTAAGTTGCTGTGGATGTCAAATCATGTGAGAGCAATTTGTAAACTGTAAAATACCAAACATTCCCTAGTTTTGGTTTTCAAGGTGCCCCTAAAGTGAGATGAGCCGAGTTGAACAAGTGCTGTGAACCTTGGAGTAGAACATACACCGTGTCTGGCTTGGAGTCCGTTTGGAAGATTGAGGAAGATAAGAGAGCCAGTCTTTCTGGATGTAAGCGGCCAGCAAGGAGTAACTAGTCAATGAGGTGAAAGTGGTAGGCATGTCCTAAGGAAGAGAGTTTCATTCATAATCCTTGTCTACTCACAAACGGAGGGCAAGGTCTAAACTTTGCAAGCATGTTCTCTAAACTTTGGAAACAATTCAGAAGGTTTCATTAGAAGTATTGGGGTAGCTGGTGGTGTGGAGGCTAAGGGAGCTACGTCTCATGGCCAACTGTGCGGTTCAAGTCCAGACCTGGCAGCTTGGAGAAGCACACCCGCCACTGCATGCATGCCCAGAATCCCAAGGGGAGAAGGGATTGTGATGGCACCTACCCACCCACCGAGGGGGCAGTGCTGCGCCTTCTCACTTTTACTCCGTCTTTGTCTTGTCTCCAACGAGTGCACACCTTAGAGCAAACTTTTAAAAAGTACGATTTCATTAACCAAGATCCTTAAAGGAATGAAACGCTTTCGAGCAAGTCTTTACAGTAATGTGTATTGCAACTGATGAGCGAAAGGCAGAACTGTCCTACACAAGTGAGGATGAAAGCCCCTCTTACTCCCAAGCTATAGATGAATCCAAAGCAGAAACCTGGCCCATGTGGCAAAAGCAAAATACGGACAATGCATTGGGATGTTGCAGCCAGCTTTACCAGGGAAGAGAAAAGGATGTGGGGGGTTTGGTTTTGGTTTTTGGCAGTTGATATGTCATGACCCTCCTGCCTCAGCCTCCAGAGTAGTTGAAACTACAGGTGCATACCACCATGGCTGGCTTTTTGGGCGTCCTCAGCCGGCCAAGCAGTGGTGTCAACCTATGAACTACTGTAACTGGCTGGGCAAATGTGTATCTCCGCTTTCCTCCTCTTACGTAGATTCTGTCACCTTTTTCTTCCCTTTGCTACCTCCTGTGTTTTCTTCCTCCTGATTGGCTGTTACGTGCTGGTGCAGGTTTGTACCAAACACAGAAGCTGACTGGTCACGTGATGCCCTGCCTCTCATGCAAGTTAGGTTTATTTAAGTGGTTTTTGTATTAACGTTTAGGGGAAGTGCGAAGCGAATTCCTCATCGGGAGACAATTGTGGGGCTCCTGGATTCCTTGGTAAGCTTCCTAAAGGTGTTTCGTTCACAGCGTAAAACTGCTGGTGTGGATAGGCTGGTATGAATGGGTGAACCGTGTCATCGGGGAGAGGAGGCAGTAGGAGTGCTATAAGGGGACAGAGGTGATGGTGGCCGGTCAGTGGCATTAAGACTGTTCTGGGAGCCTGGAAGTGTAGTTCTGCACTAACTACAACCATTGAGGTAAGATTCTCCAACACACACGAGGCCCCGCCTCCTACGCACGCTGCCTTTTAGCAAGGACCCCAGACCCTCGCTGTGCTCTCCCACAGGGCGCCCAGCACTGCAGGGCATCTCACAGCTGGCCAGTGAGAACAAGGTACCCTAACGTGCTGGGCTTGTCCCCAGACCCCAGTGTAGAAGTGGGCCAGAGGAGGTGGTCAGGGCCCAGAACGATTTCCTTCCCCTTGGCCCCTTTCCAGCTTCTGGCTGGCCAGAGCTCAATACGCAGTACGAGAGTACCGTGAGTGAAGAGTGGGATGGCCAGGGCTGCAGCCCCTTCCCCGTGCCAGTTACCAGGAGCAAGAACGGAGGCAAACGTGCTGTCCACGTGCGTGGCCCTTTAACCGGGAGTGGCCTTGCTCACTGTTGGGTTCCATAAATATCACTCCACAAAATGTATTCTGTAAATACCATCAGCTCCATGAGACTGGCAAGTGAGGAGCGGCTCGTATGTCTCAGACCCTCTAACCCTGCCTCCCTTTACGCCACCACAGGCAAAGTCAGCCCCAGGTTCTCTCTGGGTTCCTGCAAGTTTCTGCACACCCATCTCAAGCTGCTTCTCTTTCATTCATTAGGGAGAGAGACAAGCACTCGTCAGGGTCCCAGGCCCCAAATCCACCCCTGCTCCCACCCCGTATGTAGATTGCCTCTAGTAAGGATCCGTGTGCTGTGCTGACCCTGCGCTCCGTGGCACCCACAGCCGGGCCTGCACAACTACCGTGGCCTCCAGCCGATGCCAGCCACAGGAGATTCTTCGGAAGCTTCCCAGTGGCTGTGTGGGGGAACATTCTGCTCCTCGCCTGGGCCCTGCCCACCTGCTGACCCAGGCCCCGCACCCCCCAGGACCCTCTCATCATCCTGCTCTCACCCCTGGGCTGCTTCAGGCTTCTGTGCTTTTCGGGCCCCCTCCTGCTACACAGGCAGTTTTCCTCCACAATCCATAAAACCCCTCCAGCTCCACCCTAGCCTTCAGGTTTCAGTCTCAGCCATTGCAGAGGCTCCGACCACCCTATCCGAGTTTTCTAGCGGCCATTTGTCACAGTGTGCTTACTAGTTCCAGATGGTCGTGTCTGCCTT